CTGAGAAATTAGAGCGGCAAATGTCCTAGCTTCTGTCAGACAACCACCTCACAGACTACCAGAAGGAACCGCCCCTTCTTCAATTCCAATTTTCATTCCTTGTTTATGCTCTTACTGTGGCAGGATGTCCCAGGATCTTAGGAAAATTAACTCTTAATACATAATTATGTTTTTAAACAGCCAAAGGTATTTTTTCCTCCTTTAGAATCCTGCAAACAATTTAACTTTGCCAAAACCATGGCAGTTAACCTTGTCCAGATAGTTGAGCTCTGCACTATACAAAAGGGCATCTGCAGTGCAATAAAAACTCAGCTTGTGCCCTTTATTTGTTTAGGTATTACAGAGGCCCAAGAGGGTTCTCTCTCCAAAGAGGAAAGGTGGGATTTTTTTTGGTTTTTTTTCACACCCTTAAAAATTATCAGGAATGTCAAGACTTGTCTACCTATATTTTGTTGAAGCTTCTTGGTCAGTCCTTGTGACCTTTTACAAGCAGCATTTTTCTCTCAAGTGTTAAATAGCTGTTAAAAAAAAAGATTTAAAACTATGAATAAAAGTCACTTCTATTCTTGATCAGGATTCACTTCCTTGGAACTTATCTACCTCTATCAAATATTGGAGAATTAGCAGAAAAGTGTCAAGATTCAAATTTATAATATACAAAGCAAGCAGGCCAAGAACATGAATTGACATTTCAGTGTCTCTCATATATCATAAAGAAGTCTTCCCCCAATCTTCCAGGGCACCTGGAAAGAGGGAGGGAAAATATAGGTCTGAGAAACTGGAAAGGGAGGAGGCATCATCTTTTAGCTCTTGAGGGGACAGGGAACCAGCCCCTCGTAAGCCCATAAAAACCAAGATACTGCACAAGATTAAAAATCCATCAGTGAACAAGGCTTTACTGACAACTTTCCATACAGTTAAAAAATAAAAATACAGAACACAGTGGACAGTGTCACATATTAAAAAACGAATAAAATTGGATCTATGCAAATGGTATTAAAATTAATTAGAAACTAAAAATCTTACAGTTTTGTTTAAGGTTTACTGGGCTTCCACCAAAATGATCGGCCTTAAAAACAACTGGGTTGTGACACACACACAAAGAAAACATGGAATCTGAAGAGACAGTGTGGGCTAGGCAGTGTCTTTGACTATAACTATCACCATATGTTCTTCTTCTAACTTTCCCAATGTCCTTAGTGCTGACTGGAGGTACTGCTGAGAGAATTCACAGGGAGGGAAAGCATAAAGCATGCCTGTGCTGTCTCTGCACTTCGCCCCTCCCACAGGCAGGCTGATCACCCCAGCAGCCTGCTTCTGTTTCAAGTAGGAGACCAGATTCCTGAGAAGCCTTCGCTGCAAGCCAGGCTCCACAACAGGAAAGGTCCCCTCAGCCCCTACCCCTCCTTGGGTGGCTTGGGTAGCCAGTAGCACAGCATAACCATTAGGACTGCCTTGTTTGATACGGCGAGTTACTTCATCCAGCTTGGGCTGGTCAAGCCGAAGTCTTTGCGCAATCTTGAGCTGTGTTAACTTCCCACCAGATGAATGGTCTTTTAGGAGCCCATTGATGACACCTAGGTCTCCCTCCAGGATGTGCATAGACGTGGGGAAGCAGCTATTTTTTAACACAAGAAGCCCGTTCCAAGCAAGTTGCAGTGTCTGAGCGAATTCTGATAAGTTCTTTACTTTTTTGGTCTCAGATTTTGGCTCCTCGTGAGTTTTTGATTCCGATTCACCAGTTCGATGATTGCGTTCGCTGTCCCTTTTTTTAGGCTGAGGAAGATCAGAAGTTTCACGATGAGGTTTCTCCTCAGACACGTGCCGGTTGTTCTGAAGGGAGTTACTCTGGTCTCTTTCTGTTCCAGACTCTGTAGTGTTGTTCTCTTTGCGAACCCTGTCTGGGCTGCGATCTAAAGCTAGCCCACTGGCCTTTGTCCTGCCTCTGTCCTCGTAAGGCGAATGAGCAGTCCTTCCACGGTCACTGGAAAGGCTCCGGCGTTTCCGTCTTTCTTCCCAAGGCTTGGGCACGCTGCGGTCACTGTCACTACCCCAACGTTCTCCGCTGCGGCTACGCACGGATCGGCCGTAGCTCTCCAAGTTATTTCTGCGTTCAGCATTTTTGGCAGGGCTAGCCCAGTCTGCCTCTGCAAAGCTCCTGTCTCTGTCCGAGTACAGGAGATGTGGAGGAGTCCTATCTCTCACCCTTAAGTCTTGCTCTAGGCTTCTGTGCCTGCTATATCCATCAGGTAACAGCTCATAGTGCACTGGGAGTGGTGCAGGCTGGTACTGCTGGGGGTATCTTGTCTCTTCAGCTTTGGCAAAATCCACTCTAAGTCTCCTCTCTGGTCCGCCCAAGGGGAAGCCCCTCATCTGCGCACAGGCAGCCTGGGCAGCATCCAGGCTTTCATACTGAATATAGGCAAAGCTATCACCCTTCACATAGTCAATAGTCCTGATGCTACCAAAGCGATCAAACTCCCTAGCAAGGGCAGCCAGGGAGGTACTTGGTCCAAGGCCGCCTACCCAGAGTCGAGTAGTAGGGTTGGCTTTACCATAGCCAATTTTGATGGGGTTCCTGCCAACAACCCGGCCAGACATGGCGACCTTAGCCCGATGGGCCATGTCCAAGTTCTGGAACTTGAGGAACGCATAGGCCCCACCTTGGCCTCGAGCAGGGCGCTTGATCACCACCTCCTCAATGATGCCATACTTCTCAAAAGCACGTCTCAGCTCCACCTCTGAGACGTTATGATCTAAGTTCCCAATGAACAGGTTCCGGGTGGCTCTCTGGTCATCCTCTGGCATCAGGTCTTCCTCAGCCACTATGGGGTAGCCATAGGGTCGGCCACGCTCATCATACAGCCCATAGTAATCCAGCGCCCTCTCCCGCTCCCGGGAGAGCCCAAGGGCAGCAGCCTCCAAGGCAAAGGCTGCAGCCGCGGCATGAGCGTGCCGGGGCCTTGGCTCCCTCAATAAAGGGCTGGTAACGGGTGAGAGCGACCTCTGCTTATACTGGTAGGTGCTGTGGATGGGTGGCAAGTAGCCCAGAGGCTCTGGGGAGGGCACAGGTGGGGGTGTGCGGCTCCTGCGACCCCCACGCAGATACACAGGCTCCACCTTGAGGGGACGATCGTACAGAAGAAGCTGCCGGGCCCGGGCGTGTCTGCGGGCATCGCGGGCATCCCCCGGGTGCCGGAAGTTGACATAGGCGACACGGCCGAGCTCGGGCGTGTGGGAAAGCTTCACACTGATGTCACCAGCGCCCCCACTCGCAAAGCGCTGGAACTGGCGGAAGAGCCCATCCTCCAGCAGCTGGTCAGGCAGCGCTGCACTCAGCCCACTCACCAGCAACGTCTTGTACTCGCAGGAGCCGGGCGGCTCCACCACCAGCCCTGGCGAGCCCCCCAGCGGGGCCAGCAGCAGGGAGGGTGCTGCCCCCGGGGGGGGCCCCGCCAGCAGCAGTGACGGGGCCACCACGGCCCCCGGGAGGGCCTTGGCCTTGGGGGCCCCCAGCGCCCGGGACGACGACGAGGTGGAGGGGGGGGCGGCCTGGCTGCTGCGGGCGCTGGAGGCCGAGCCGCTCCCCGCCGTGCGGTGGTTGGAGTCGCTGCCTCCGGCCCGCTCGTCACCGCGGTGACTGCGGGAGCTGGAGGCGCTGCTGCCACCGCCGGGCGGGAGCTTGTCCCGGCTACTGCGGGAGGCGCCCGAGCTCCGGTGCGGGCCCCGCCGGCTGCTGCTTTCCCGTTCTCGCTCCCGGGGCCGCTTGGCGGCGGCGGCTCGGCCTCCCCCCGCCCCGCCCGGGCTGGGGTCCCGCTCGCTGCCCCGCTTCATGGCTCCCGGACCCGCGGCTCAGGAGGCGCCTCCGGCGGCCGCCGCCATCTTGGACAAAAGGGAACGAAGGCGGCTCCGGAGTCCGGCCGCCGCGCCGCGCGGGCCAGACGTCATCATTCTGCGCCCCGCCGCATGGTGGCGTCAGGGATAATGGCGAGCGGGCCCCGAGGCACCTGTCACATGACAAGGGACACCCTCCCGCCACTCACGCGGCCGGAGTCATATGACAAAAAAGGACCAATAGGGAAATGACAGTTACAGCTTCTCCCCGTCAGGGGACCAACGTGGAGGGCGCCGGCTTCGAGTGAGGGGAATTGGCGGTGGCCCGGCCCCGCACAGCGCCCCCTGCCGCTGGAGCGAAGCGGCCGCTGCTACTCGACATCAGCCAACAGTGCCAGGCCGCTATGGGGCTGAGACCAGGCCCCTTCCTGACGCGAGCGGCGTTGGCTCCTGCAAGCAGCCTTGGGCCTTGTGTGGCACTATCTCTGCATCAGGCCTGGAGGGAGGTGCTTCGCCCCCACCCCGGGCATCCTCCTACTGGGGTCCGGGCCCCACTGTGCACACACACACCCTGCAGCACTGGACTAGGACACCCACCCACACCCATTAAACACACTACAAATCAGGAGGCAGGGCTGGGGTAAAGCTGCATTTACATTTACACAAGCAGGCTCTGGTCTCACCCCTGCCAGCTGTCCTTGCCTGACACAGCACTAGAGGTGCAGTCTGTACCCTAACTGGAGTCTATGACTCACAGCGAAGCTTTTGTAGGGTCTTGTATCACACCACACTTCTAACACACCCTGTGACCAGCCTTCAGCAAACAGTGTGATTGCAGCGATGCAGCAGCTGGGAGGTGTGGATGCCCCCAGGGCTAGACAGGCTCAAAGTTGTGCACTAGAACATCACTGCTGCTATTTTTAGGAGACTAGCTTCAGCTGAGCTATAGCCATACCTGCTTTTGATTTCCACTGAACTCCTTTCAACTCAGATTTTGTAGAAAAAGATTAGATTTCTTTTTACTTTAATAAAAAAAATCCCATACAGATTGTGATGTCCTAAACTAAACCAGAATCAAGAGACATACAAACTAGAGACATGACATAACGGGGGTGTTGAATGAGCATTTCACAACTCCAACTGACAGCCTTGGGAGCCCAGTTAAATAAGTTACAAAAAAGGCTTTATAAGAAACAAAACAGAGAGATTAATGTAGTTTGTACGAGGTGCTATATGACAGAGGCCACTCCATTGGTCAGAGATCCGTCCGTGAACTGGCTGCCTTTGGTGCATATTTAGGCATCAGTTCATTGATTTTGCGAATATAGTCTGATTTTTCTGCACAGCCCTTGCATGTTTCACCCCAGTCATCTAGGATCTTCTTCAGTTCTTTCACTCTCAGTTTCTTCAGGTCCACAGTGCTCAGGTCAATCTGCTTGTCTAAGGAGAGAGAGAGGGGAACATTAGTTATTTTAAGTAAGCAATAACAAATTGATTAGAAGCTGTCAAAATTAACATCTTTCTTAAAGACATTTGATTGGTTTGTTACCTTCACTGATTGAGTTGCTTGTGTTTAATGTCTTTCACTGGAGAAGGCCTACTCTTGTGGAGATTAAAGAGAATCCCTACTTCAAAGAAATGAAATGAAATATAAAAACAGACAAAGCAAGGGGAGGGGAAAAAGGGAGATGAGGCTTAAACACAAGTACAAAGGATATTATTTTGCAATGAGGCAAGGCAAGAAGGAGAATCGCAATCGAAGACAAACAAGGCTGAATTTTATGCACAAGGACTCGGAATCAGTGAAGAGACTGGCAGTGTCAGATTGATGCAGTCAGAGCAATAGGAAAAGAAAAAAATAAATAAATACAAAATAATTCTAAGTACAACAGAAGCCGGAAGCCTGATGAACAGGAAGTGGGGCCACTCGATGATCAAGGTGCTAAAGGAGTACTCAAGAAAGACAAGGCTATTGCAGAGAAGCTAAATGAATTGTTTGCCGTGGTCTTCGCTACAGGGGATGAGCAACATTCCCACATCTGACCCATTCTTTGTAGGTGATAGATCTGAGGAATTTTCCCAGACTGAAATGTCAATAGAGGAGCTCTGGGAACAAATTGATAAATTAAACAGTAATAAGTCACCAGGATAAATGGTATCCACCCAAGAGTTCTGAAGGAACTCAAATATGAAAACTGCTGAACTGCGGTATATGTATATCATTTAAGTCAGCCTCTGTACCAGATAACTGGAGTGGAGCTAATGTAATGTCTATTCTTTAAAAAAAAGACCCTAAAGGCAATTCTGATAACTAAAGGCCAGGAAGCCTAACTTCAGTATCAGGCAAATTGTTTGAAACTATAGCAAAAAAACAAAATGATCAGACACCAAGATAAACATAGTATGTTGGGGAAGAGTCAACACTCCTTTTATAACAGGGAAATCATGCCTCACCAATGTATTAGAATTAGTTGAGAGTGTCAGCAAGCATGTGGACAAGGCGACCCAGTTGATATAGTGTCCCTGGCCTTTCAGAAAGCCTTTGACAAGGTCCCTCACCAAAGGCTCTTAAGCGAATTAAGCAGTCACAGGATACGAAGGAAGGGCCTTTCATGGATCAGTAACTAGTTAAAAGACAGGAAACTAAGGATAGGAATAAATGGTCAGTTTTCATAATGGAGAGAGGTAAATAGTAGGGTCCCTCATGGATATGTGCCGTTCAACATATTCAAAAGTGATCTGAAATAAGGTGTAAACAGTGAGGTGGCAAAATTTGCATATGATACAAAATTACACAAAATAATTAAGTCCAAAGCTGACTGCAAAGAGCTACTAAACCAGGTGACTAGTCAACAAAATGGCAGATGAAAATCAGTGTGGATAAATGCAAAGTAATGCACATTGGAAAACAATCTTAACTATACATACAAAATGATGGGGTCTAAATTAGCTGTTACCAGAAAGAGATCTTAGAATCATTGTGAATAGCTCCCTCAAAACATCCTCTAAATGCACAGTGGCAGTCAAAAAAGGTAACGATGTTAGGAACCATTAGAAAGGGATAGATACAAAGACAAAAAATATCATCACGCCACTATGTAAATCCATGGGTATGTCCATACCTTGAATATTGCACACAGTTCTGTTGCCTCATCTCTAAAAAGATATTTTAGAATTGGAAGAGGAGAGCAATAAAAATGATTATGGGTATGGAACAGCTTCCATATCAGGAGAGATTAAAAAGACTGGGACTGTTTCGCTTAGAAAAGAGATAAATACCAGGGAATAATAGAGGTCTATAAAATCATGAATGGTGTGAAGAAAGTGAACAAAAGTATCATTTACCTCTTTGACACAACACAAGAATTAGGAGTCACGCAGCAGGTTTAAAAACAAACATAAGGAAGTACTTGTCTATACAATGCAGAGTCAACCCGTGGAACTCTTTGCCATGGGATGCTGTGAATGCCAAAAGTATAACTGGCTTAAAAAAAGTTAATCAGGTAAATTCATGGAGGACAGGTCCATCAATGGCTATAAGACAAGAGGGTTGGGGATGCAACCCCAGGTGTCCCTAACCATCCAACTGCCAGAGGCAGGGACAGGATGACAGGAGATGGATCACTCAAAACAGTCCTGTGCTATTCATTCTCTCTGAAATATCTGGCACTGGCCACTGTCAGAGACAGGATACTGGGCTAGATGGACCATTGGTCTGACCCACTGTGGCCATTCTTATATTCAGCTGCTGAAGACTGGACACAGTGAAGGGGAGAGAGTCTGGGACACCAGAAAGGTTGTGGTGGTTACAAGAGTTCAAGCAAGACAGAAATGAGGCAAGAATTAGGGTGTTGGCAGTAAACACAGAAAGGAAAGGGCAGATTTTTATTTTTATCTATTAGAGAGAAACATAAGATTTAGTGAAAGCCTGGATGTGAGGATTCAAGGGTAACCCCAGAGCTGCAAACTCTAATGATCAGAGAGGACAGTGGATTCTCCATCTCAAGAGGTAAAAGGAGAGGTTTTAGGAGGAAAGACAAGAGAAACATGACAAATGGATCTTCTTAGTAAACACACAAATATCCACGAGGAGACAGAACAAAAGAAAGATGTGGCCTGCACAGAAGAAGAGGTGGATTTGAGAATCATCAAAATAGAGGTGATGAGAGAGTGGATAGGAATACTCAGAGAACAAGCACAGAAAAATGGAGCCCAAGGACAGATGCCTAGCAACTAAGAGATATTTCTGAAGGAGTGGCCAGCAAGGTAGAGATCACTTAGAGGATAATCATGGAGGGCTGCGAGACTGACCATTAATTAGGCTTGGCAAGGAAGACCTCATTAATGGACTGTCATGAGCAGTTTCAGTGGAGCAGAACTGGAAGCCTGACTTTTAGGGAATCAAGGAAGGACCATTTAAAAATGAAATAGTCTCTTGTAAATGTCTTTGATAGGGTTTGGTAACAAGAAGCCCAATTGTATGTGGAGAGTTAGGCATCCAAGAAAGAGATTCTCAGAAGCCAACAACCTGAGCAGGAAGCTGCCTAAAATGGCCAAGAACAAAATGAAGACTGTGCTCTGAGCACCTCCTGGATTGGGCCCTGCAGGCAAGAGGGCAGGAGGTGGGGGCTGTCTTGTTTGAAAATCCTGGCAGGGCTTAGGCATGACCTAAGGCTCCATACAACTTGATAGCTGTCGGGCAGTATCAAGACTTAAGCAGGGTTAGGCAGCAGCTGAGCAGTGGTTTTGTGAACGTCAGTGGTGCTTAAATGTTGGACCTAGGCATCTAAAGAGGCCGTTAGGCACCCTCTAGCCGCAAGGGTCTGGGCTAATCCTGGGCATAAGCAATGCTGCACACTAGACAAACCCATGTCTGTGCAGGAACCCTCTGAGTTGGATTAGTGCCAGACACAGCAACTTTCACCTAATCACCCTATTAGGAGCCTCCAGAAACATTTTACTACACATACTTGTGCTACGGCCTAACCATTCAAACATCTCTAACGGGGTCAGCTCAAGTTATCTGTCATAATACTTACTCTGCTGATCTTGCTGAAGAATTTAAGAGCAAGTGGCTTCACCTCATCAGCTTTCAAAAGAAGTTCAATTTAGGCTGTTTTAGATTAGAAACAGATCCATACAAGGGATCGGATGGCAAGTGCATTATCTATCAAAACAAAGGTCCATACTGCAGAAAAATCCAGTCATTTAACCCCATAGCTAACGTCTCCCCAAACTCACCGTATTTTAGCTCACAGATCTGGCTGTCTTTCTTCTTCAGTTTCTCACAGACCTTTTCCACAGGGATGTGGTGACTCAGAGGTTTTGATACCTCATTAACCATTTTAGTGGCTGCATCGCTGGTGGCTCCAATGTAATAGCACTAGAGGGGTAGAAAGGAAAAGTATGAGGTGTCTAGTGATGCTGAGGGAAAAGAATCCTTTCAGAAGAATTCAGTTGATTTTCTTGGTTGCTTCCTCCCTCCTCTGTGCCAGAGACCCTGAGCTTTCTGCCATACGAATCTCAGTCTTGCCATGATTTTATCTCAGAATTTGTTTCATCCAGAGGAGAGGACCAGCTGCTTTGGTTCAGATTTCTAGAGCAAGCAAAGTGAAGGGGGAACAGGAACCACAGCCCCACTTTCACTCTACCTCTTGGAAGCACCTCAGCTCCAGGGGAAGATTTATTTTCACTCATAAGGAAGAGAGAGAACATGCCACCAAGAAATGGCTTATTTGGCCTTTTGTCATGCACATTTTTGACAGACTAGGTTGCATGGTTTTGCAGTTTCACATTTACTGGTACAGAATATTTCTCCATGAGTCCCATTAGAGCTATGAGAAAAGCTGATTTCTCATTATGTTGATGTAGGTTGTCCTGGTACCCCCGAGTGACATTTTATCTGAGCTGGCCTGAAGGCAGAGTTTTCTCAGTTCAAGGACAACTTGTCTGAAGTACAATATGTCCCTGAGTATGTCTGACAAAGTCACTCCTAGTTCTCTTCAAAGATAGGGGAAGGCCTTTCTACTCGGGTCACTTCATTGTGAAAGCATTTTGGACTGCTTTCAATTAGCACTTCCTTTTGGGTTAATTTCCTTTGCCATTTTTCAGTTCAAGGGTTGATAAACATTATTATTTAAAAACATAGTTTGTACAGCAATCTAGATGCATCATCTAATGCTCAAGGGGTTCAGTAGAAAGTAAAATTTCATAAGAAAAACTCTCTCACGGCAGTTCAATTACAGGCAGAAATGAGGTCAAGCAATAGGAAAATTGGTACCAATTTATTCATTTTATGGTGGAGAGGGATTGCACTCCTCCTCAAATCTTCCCTATATAGGCCTATACTGTATACACAACCATTCAGTGAGAGTTTCTATCTACCTCCCAGGTGTTCTATGAATTATTCTGCAAAAGAGATAGTGATGGATCACTGTTACTTACCAGTCGGTTCTCTTTGCCTTTTGCTTCTTTGCAGGATTTCAAAAGTTCTTTTTCAACACTAGCTGGTGTGAACTCAACATCCTTGTCCTTTAAACTCTGGTAGAACCTTCCCAGGAATGTAACACACACTAAAGGGGGGGGGAAAATGGAAAGATTCATAACATTTGCACTAACCTGGAAGTAGCACTTGGGGAGAACTATACGAAAACAAGAGAATGAAGGGGTTTGTGAATGAGGTTAGGACACTGCATTAGCGACCAAGAACCTATCCCCTTGGAGCTGCACACATGACAATTACACCATAGTAAATCTTTCAGAGCATGAATGAGGACAGGTGACGCACATATTTATACACCTCACCCACCTTGTCTTGCTAATACTTAGAACAGAAACAGATCCACTGAGATCCCTGAGGAGAGATCCCATCAATGGCATTCATGTACTGTACTGGAGGAGCAGCACAGATTCAGCTGAGGCAGTTGGTTCTCAACCTATTTACCATTGTGGGCCACATCCAATACTACCTTAATGGCCCTGCAAATGTCACATGGACTGCAGCTCTGTGCTGATTGGCCACAGTTTGAGAACCACTGAGCTGTGGAAATACAATGCTAGCAGCAAACAATAGAGGGAGCACTAAGCGGTGGGTGGGAAGAGCCAATTTAATGCCCAGGCTCTCTTATCCTTCCCTCCCAAAACAATAACTCAATGTCAATCTAAGGACTTTAATTACGCAAAACTATTCTGAAAATGACAGACTCTAAATATGGCACTGTCGACTCCATGTTTATTGTCTCTCAGTATGTACAGATCAAGTCCACTCAGTTTACAAAAGGAAAAAATGCTTTGTTTAAGAATGTCAGCTTTGGAAACTCAACCTTGACCTCAACATCACCAGTATGAAAAATTCTGTGGGCCAAATGAGACCCTCAGCAGCACTCTTGCAATCCTGTTACCTTCAATGATGAGACAAGGTGCCCAACACTGACCCCATCTCTGCGGGGGTGTGGGGGGGAATGGCACAGGTTAGGGCTTCCATACGTTTTACTGATACCAGGAGAAGGGATCAACCAATCTCTATGGCCTTCAGCTACTTTTACACTCAATTCCAAAGTCAAGGAAGGGCATAAGAAGTTGGAAAATACAGGATCACCTATTTGAGCCCCACACAACCAAGAAGTAGTCTGCACTCCAAATATGTAACACTGGCAGAAAGCATAACCTGAACTAAATAGGTAGCTGAACTTTTTCTACATGCATAGCATCTTTTTTGGCCATTTCACATTACTTCTCCCACACAGTGCTGTCCGCTGTTCTTGTGCTGTGGTCTGGTATTTGGATTCCAGGTGCTGCAGGGAATGATATTGGTGACTGAGTTACTCTTGAACCTGAGTTCCAGCATGGTGTTACAGGGCACTGGGCTGCTGGAGATGCCATCTCTCAGATGAGGTGAAAAAATTAATCCCCAATTAAAGAGACTATGGCATTTTTTGAAGCAGTAGTGGTGCAAAATTCCAGAACTGCAGGGAAATTCCAAATTGGATAACTACATCTTTAAAGTTCCCCTTAAAGTTTTATCTGCAGAATCTGTTCACTTCTTCACTTAAGAACTGTTGTGTAACTCTTCTGTGCTGTTAAGTAGTTTAAACCTAAGAGGCTGATGCATTTCAGTGGTGCACCAAGATCCCAGTGTATAGTTTGTATTATTAGCTGAACACTGGCACTCTTTAGCATAAAAGGTGCAATATATATTACCTGAACCAGAGTATAATGGTGACCAGTCCTGTATGATTTCTATTGTGTTAGTCACCATGGTATCATTTATGCCATGTAAGGAGACAAAGTTTTTTAAAATTACATTTCACTTATCAGGTCAGGCTTGCAATTTACAAATACACTTGAACATAGTCAGGATTCACTTTCTCCTTTACTAACCTGCCAACATTCAGGTTCAGAATTCACTTCCTTAGCTATGGAAGTTCTTCCAGATCACAAAACCTTTCATCAGAAGGTTCCTCACCCTCCCTACTTTGCTTTATTTGGAGATTATCAGCTATTACAGGAAAAAAAAAAAAAAAAAAACACCCTAAACCCAGGATAGAACAGAGAAGTGAAGAACTGAGTATTAAATGGATCTTTAAAGAAGGTGAACTTGGAAAAGAAAGAAATTAAAAAAAAAAAAAAAAAAAAACCGAGAGGGCAGAGTACTAAATATCACTATTAGGGGCAGATTTTTAAAGGTATTTAGACACCTGAAGATGGTCATCAAAATACCTTCAAAAATTTGGACCCTGGTCTCAACTGGGTGCACGAAAGAGAGAGTTGTAGTCCTGGCTTGACATCACTATGAGGCCCTCCACAGACCTTTCCAAAATCAGGACTCCCTCATCCTGATATAAACAAGCAAAAGTTTTGGTTAGGTGTTTTAAAACAGGCTGACAGAGACAACAGAAAGCTACTATGAAGGACAAAGCTTAATTTTTGCTTTGTAGCTCAGGCAGGATACATTCCAGACCCAATAGACAGTGACAAGAGGCAACTTCCCTTCGCCTTCCTGGGCTGCTCTTCACTAGGGCCTTTTCCTTCTGAGACTGCCAGGCACCTTAGGGAGCCCTCCGGGCAGCCCCCCCCTCCAGAAACCCCGTCCGGCCCAGGAGACCCCAGGCAGCTCAAGGACCCCTCCCCCCACCAGGAGTCCCACTCCTCCCAGCCCCGCGCAGCGGCCGGCAGTCCGCCCACCGGACGAGCGAGTCTCCGGTGAAGAGCAGCCCCACGAGGCCAGGGACTCGCCAGAGCCGGTGCCGCCCTGCGCAGCCCCCCGGACAGGGACACCCGCCGGCACCTCGCTCACCCTCGCACTCCCCCTCCCGCAGGGCCCGGCTGCCGCCCGGGAGCAGGATCAGAGCCAGCGCCGCCCAGAGCCAGTTCGCCACCCGCATCCTGCCGCTGCGCAGCCGGCTTCCTCAGTAGCACACGCCGCTCTGCGAGACCCCTTCGCACCCGGTGCCTTGACAACATGCACCGCCCGTCCCCCACCCCATTGGGTGCTCCTGGCGCTTCCCTCACACGTCGAGCTCCCATTCGCCCACTCTTCCATAGGCCTCCACGCTCCCTTTCCCGATTGGTCGGTCCGCGGCCGAGACGGGAGAGTTGGCGGCTGCTGATTGGACTAGGTGAGCGGAACGGCTTCAGCCGCCGGTCTCCAGGAGACGGAACAACCCCCGGGAAACGCCATCTTTGTGCGGAGCATGATCGCGCAATGGAATTCCGTGCAGCCGCCATCTTTGTGCGGGGCAAGTCCCCCAGGCCAAGGGCTGGAACCCACGAGGCGGTAGAGAGCAGGGGCTGGCGCTTTGCTCTGGGTCTCAGGCAGGTCCCCGCTCCCAGGGGCCGGGAACCCCGTCGTTGGCAGGAATCGTCCTGAAGCCAAGAGGGGCTGAGCCTAGCAGGGGCCTGGGCAGCACCCTGAGGCGGGGGAGGTGGATGCTGGAACCAAAGGGCGTTTGGTGGCCGCCCTGGGGCCCAGGCTGGCTGCCTGACCTGGCACTAAGCACGACAGCCCAGGCTGACTGCGTGACAACTCGGCAAGTGCTGTGGACTAGGCTGGCTCCCTGGTCCCAGCTGCCCTGGATTCATGGGCGCACAGCCGCACACGTGCCATGCTTCAAATTCTCTTTAGCAAGCAAAGCTTTTGCGTGAGGTTGGCTCTTGCAGTGATTGGGGATGGAAGGGATAGGGTGATCAGATATCCCAATTTTAGAGGGACAGGCCCAAGTTTGGGGTCTTTTTCTTATATAAGCTCCTATTACCCCTCACCCCCATCCTGATTTTTCACACTTGCTGTCTGGTCACCCTAGGAAGGAACCAAGGGGACCCCAAAGACTTGGTACACGGACTGGATCTCAGCGGGTCTACACGGCAGCATGGCCTATGATCATGACTTTTAGAAGAAAGCTGTTAAAGTCACAGAACCTGACCAGGGAAGCAGCCAGGAAAAAGAAGAGAGTTTATGCCACTCTTCAGAAAGCTTAGGCACTAGATATGCACAGTGGACAAGGATTAGAGAGCAGGGCTTCTAACCCCACATACTTAAAAATTGTCAGGCACTCAAAATCATAAGATGGGCTTAAAAATTAGATTTTTTTAAAATAGTAATAACTGTTGTGTATTTTTAGTTGCCATCTGGTTTTTGAGCCATTGGGATGCACACAGGTCACCATTTCAGACTTTCCTTTGCTACCGTAAAGTAGAACTTGCTTAAAAAAAGAAAGCTGAGATTTCCATATTATTATATGAATCCAGGAGTTAAGGCTTCAAGAAAAACACCAAATATCAAGCGAATTGAGATAAAATTGCAGGAATTGGCAAACACTCCCTTTTCTAGTGTAGCTATACTGCCTTCCACAGGATTTTGGAGTTGGATGAGAAGATTCAGCACAAATATTTTCTCAAAGGAAAAAAGTGTTGCTTAATAGCCTGTAAACCAGTGACCACTAGTTAAGGCTGCAAAATGGTTTCCATTCTAATTTCATTTTGGCCATTTAAAACTTTTGTTTGCAGTGTTGTTGTAGCTATGTTGGTCCCAGGATATTATAGAAACACAAAGGGGGTGAGGTAATATCTTTTAGTGGACCCACTTCTCTTGGTACAAGCTTTCAAGTGTACTCAAACTTTTTAAAACTGGTTACTGACTCTAAGCTTTCAAGCTTACACTGAGCTTTACATAGAGCTGAAATATGAAAGTGTCAAACCTTTTGGCATTTTCATATTTCAGACTGAGGCAGAGAAAGAAGAGTCAAGAAGTTTCTGAGCACAAGAAGCACAGAAAAAGAATAAGTTTCCTGTTAGTGAAACAGTTCTAATCCTAACATGCATGGGTAGAAATTTGATGAAGGAGCAGAACACATCCTTATTACAGAGTAAATTGGGTTTGAACAGTTTATGGACAATTGAAAATCAGATTCTAAGCATACTGGCATTACATGCTTTTGTTCTGTTCATTATGTGTGAAAGGACAGTTACCTGTTCCATAACTGGCGTTCTTTGAGATGTGTTGCTCCTGTCTATTCCACAGTAGGTGTGCGTGCTCGCCACGTGCACCGGTGCCGGAAGTTTTTCCCTTAGCAGCATCCGTAGTGGGGAAGCCCCGCTGCGACCCCTGGAGTGGCGCCGACATATCGCGCCATAAAGGGGGCTACGTGCTCCCCCCACCCTCAGTTCCTTCTTGCCAGACAACTCCGACAGAGGGGAAGGAGTGGGGGAGGCGGAATAGACAGGAGCAACACATCTCGAAGAACGCCAGTTACGGAACAGGTAACTGTCATTCCTTCTTCGAGTGATTGCTCCTGTGTATTCCACAGTAGGTGACTCCAAGCTATACCTGACGGAGGTGGGTAGGAGTTCTAAATGATAAAGGTTACGGGTTACCCGGGTGGAGCACCGCCCTACCAAACCCGGCGTCATCCCTTGCCTGGGAGACGATCGCATAGTGTGATGCAAAAGTATGGCCAGAGGACCATGTAGCAGCCCTGCAGATGTCCTGAATAGGGACATGAGCCATGTAGGCCGCAGATGAGGCCTGGGCTCTTGTCGAATGCGCCTTAACAATAGGAGGTGGGGGAACCCCGGCAAGGTCATAACACGTGCGTATGCATGAGGTGATCCAGCGGGAAATCCGCTGGGTGGAAACCAGTTGCCCTCTCATGCGCTCGGCGGTAGCAATGAAAAGCTGAGGGGATGCCTGAAATGGCCTTGTTCGATCTAAGTAAAAGACCAGCGCCCTACACACGTCTAGCATGTGTAGGCGTCGTTCCTCATTGGAGGAATGGGGCTTAGGACACAGGACTGGCAGGAAAATGTCCTGGTCCATATGAAACACCGAGACCACCTTCGGCAGGAAGACCGGGTGCGGGCGAAGCTGTACCTTCCCCTTATGGAAGACAGTGTTACCGCCTGAGGGCTCGAGGCGGACTTCAAATGGTCCGTTGGCC